AGGGAATGGAGCAGGGAATGGAGCAGGGAATGGAGCAGGGAATGGAGCAGGGAATGGAGCAGGAACTGATGAGGGAATGGAACAGGGAATGGAGCAGGGAATGGAGCAGGGAATGGAGCAGGGAATGGAGCAGGGAATGGAGCAGGAACTGATGAGGGAATGGAGCAGGGAATGGAGCAGGGAATGGAGCAGGATGCCCAAGGCCAGGGCACATCGACCCCTCCACACCCACCTGGAGACTCCCAACATCCTTCCCACGCCCACCTCCGTCGGGATGCGCCCCCAGAACGCTGGACATCCCTCCGGACATCCCTCCGGACATCCCCCGGACATTCATCCGGACATCCCCCGGACATCCCTCTGACATCCCTCTGGACATCCCTCTGGGCATCCCCTGGACATCCCTCTGGACATCCCTCTGGACATCCCTCTGACATCCCTCTGGACATCCCTCCGGACATCCCTCTGACATCCCTCTGACATCCCTCTGGACATCCCCCGGACATCCCTCCGGACATCCCTCTGGACATCCCTCTGGACATCCCTCTGGACATCCCTCTGGACATCCCCTGGACATCCCTCTGGACATCCCTCTGGGCATCCCCTGGTCATCCCTCCGGACATCCCTCTGGACTTCCCTCTGGACATCCCTCTGGATATCCCTCCGGACATCCCTCCGGACATCCCTCTGGACTTCCCTCTGGACATCCCCCGGACATCCCTCCGGACATCTCTGGACATCCCTCTGGGCATCCCCTGGACATCCCTCCAGACATCTCTGGACATCCCCCGGACATCCCTCTGGACATCTCTGGACATCCCTCTGGACATCCCTCCGGACATCCCTCTGGACATCCCTCTGGACATCTCTGGACATCCCTCCGGACATCCCTCTGGACTTCCCTCTGGACATCCCCCGGACATCCCTCCGGACATCTCTGGACATCCCTCTGGACATCCCCCGGCCATCCCCTGGACATCCCTCTGGACATCCCTCTGGACATCCCTCCAGACATCTCTGGACATCCCTCTGGACATCTCTGGACATCCCCCGGACATCCCCCGGACAGACACGGGAATCCTGCTCCCCCCAACCACGCCTCCCACACCCCCTCCACCACCACGGGCCCAGGGCGCACATGCGAACCGCCGGAAAACCGCCGGAAAACCGCCCGAAAACCGCCCGAAAACCACCGGAAAACCTCTGGAAACCTCTGGAAAACGCCGAGGAAGGCGCCAGAGAAGGTTCCCGAGCGCTCCCATCCTTACCCAGCTCCTCCAGCTCGGCCGTCATGGACTTGGAGCGCAGCGTGAGCGTCGTGCTGGGCGCTCGCTTGGGCGGCGGCGGCGCTGCAAGGAACAGAGAGGGCATCTTGCACCTCTTCTCCCGGAATTTCCGCGGCGTGGCCAGGTGCAGGTGCCACTTCTTCTCCACAGCCTGGATCTCCTCGTATTCCCGGGACGAGGAGTCGCACTGCTGCAGGATCTTATTGAGGCTGCGCGTGGACGCGAACTTCTTCATGATTCCCGCCGGGAATGCGCCCGCGGCCTTTGGGAATGTCGGGCCCCCCCTCCCGTGGCTCAGCGCCGAGTCCGAGCCATGGTCCCGGAGAGGCTCGCGGGGATCCCGGGATGGATGCGGGAAAAGCGGGAATGCGTCCAGCCCGAGCTCGGGATGCTCTTCCCGCCTCGGCGCGGCCCCCCGAGCGCCTCAGCCCACCCCACCCTGCTCTTCCTCCTCCTCCTCCTCCTCCTCCTCCTCCTCCTGGCCGTGGATCCCAACCCTATGGAAGCGCCGGCGTCCGGCCGGGAGCTGCCCAAGGACGCGTGGCCCGGGACGATCCCAAAAGCGCCCGATCCCGCATTCCCCGAGCAACCCCCCCCAGGCCCCCCGGAGCAGCGAGGATGAGTGGAAAGCTCTTCCTCTTCCTCCTCCTCCTCCTCCTCGCTGCTCCGCGCTGACAATGCTGGAATAACGCTCCGGGATTGCCATGGCAACGGCGGCTCCAAGCATCCCTGTGCCTGCGGCAGGGATCCAGCGGGGCGGATTCAGCCCCAGCCGGGCCCACACAGGCGCTGTCACCGGGGTGGGGGGCACACGGGACCAGCACCCCCCCACACACCCCCCGGTCCCCCCCAGCGCCCCTCGGATTCCTTGGAAAAGCGGCCGCGTGGATGCGGAGGATCGGGATGAGGAAGGCGCCGGGCGGGGAGCAGCGGGAAGCGCCGAGGGGCAGCGGCTCACCCCGGGCTGGAGCGGCCGGAGCGGCCCCAGCGCTGATTCCCGGCTGAATTCCCGAGGATTATTCCCGGTTGAGCTCCCGAGGCTGCCTGCCGTTCCCACGGCTCGTGCCTTTGTGCCGTGACAGGATAATTGGAGCTCGTCGTGCCAGCGGCGCTCCCTCCTTCCCTCCCTTCCCTCTTCCCTCCCCCGAGCCCCGCGTGCAGCGCTGGGAGCGGCCCCGATCCCGGCCCCCCTTCCCTGCTCCCAGCCCCCCGCTCCAGCCCTGCTCCCAGCCCCCCGACTCCATTCGCTGCTCCAATCCCCCTGATTCCACCCGCTGGTTCCATTCTCTACTCCAATCCCTGCTCCCACCCCCCTGCTCCCATCCCTGCTCCCATCCCTGATTCCACCCTTGATCCCAACCCTGCTCCCATCCCCCTGCTCCCATCCCTGATTCCATCCTTGATCCAGCCCTGATCCCATCCCTGATCCCATCCCTGATCCCAGCCCTGCTCCCATCCTCTGCTCCCACCCCCCTGCTCCCATCCCTGATTCCACTCCCCGATTCCATTCTCTACTCCAATCCCTGCTCCCATCCCCCCGCTCCATCCCTGCTCCCATCCCTGATTCCATTCTCTACTCCAATCCCTGCTCCCACCCCCCTGCTCCAATCCCTGATTCCATCCTTGATCCCATTCCCTACTCCAATCCCTGCTCCCACCCCCCTGCTCCCATCCCTGATTCCATCCCTGATTCCATCCTTGATCCCAGCGCTGCTCCCATTCCCTACTCCAATCTCCCTGCTCCCATCCCTGCTCCCATCCCTGCTCCCATCCCCACTCCAATCCCCCTGATTCCATTCTCTAATCCCTGCTCCCATCTCTGATTCCATCCCTGATTCCATGCCTGATCCCATCCCCACTCCAATCCCCCTGATTCCATTCTCTACTCTAATCCCTGCTCCCATCCCTGCTCCCATCCCTGATTCCATCCCTGCTCCAATCCCCCTGATTCCATCCCTGATTCCATTCTCTACTCTAATCCCTGCTCCCATCCCTGCTCCCATCCCTGATTCCATGCCTGATCCCATCCCCACTCCAATCTCCCTGATTCCATTCCTTACTCCCATCCCGATTCCATCCCTTACTCCCATCCCGATTCCATCCCTTACTCCCACCCCCCTGCCCCTATCCCTGTTTCCAATTCCTGCTTCCATTCCTGCTTCCATCCATCCATCCATCCCTGCTCCTGTTCCTGCTCCTCTCCCGCTGTTTCCATGCCCCGCTCCTGTCTCCTGCTCCCATCCCGTTTCCATCCCCTGCTCCAATCCCTCTGCTCCCGTTCCTGCTCCTCTCCTGTTTCCATTCCCTGCTCCCATCTCAGCTCCCATCCCTGTTCCCATCTCCCCATTTCCATCCTCATGCTCCCATTCCCCGTTCCTGGTTTTCATCCCTCCGCTTCCATCCCCTGTTCTCATCTCTCTGATCCCATTCCCTGCTC